AGGCTTTGGCGTGTGGAGGGATTAAGCTTTCCAGAATAGAGACGATCCAAAACAAGATAGCCAGAATACAACCGCTACAATTAAGGTAGCGCAAAACGAGCAGTGCAATAGGTGCATCCTAAACACATCGCGTTTTTGTCCACGGAGGCCCCACAACTTCGCACCTTGCGTGAGGCCACCAGATCCAGCACAATCCTCCTGAATCTCTGTTTCATCCTCGACCATGACAGGTCCAAACGATTGATGCAGCGTCACCAGCAGTGGCACGAGATGACTAAACTTCATGAAGGCCAAGCTGCCCTCAAAACTCTAGCTAAGTAAACCTTGAAAAGGAGCTGCTAGAGACAAGAAGTGCATGATTGCAAAACACCTCAGAGTATGCAGACAACTTGCAGCTGGCACAAAGCAGAAAAAATGCAAACACATCGTTGAAAATTAAATGCTAGCGACGCCTTCACCAACGTCCCCGGCGCACTTGCGTTTTGCCATTGGCCTAATTTCTGAAAACAGCAGGCAAGCACAGCAAGTGACCTTCAGCTGAGGAATTGCCACCCGTTTGTAAACAGCGATTCTACATGATTCTACACGACTGCAACCCCTTGAATTTAAATTTGTTAGAGAATGGTTCTGCCCAAACTTGGCGAGACAGACCATCCACAGCACACATTTTCCTGGCACGGAAGTGAGGTGGTAGACACCTAGGACCTAGCAGCTGCTGTAGCAGCCAGCACCCTTGAACCATAGGCTTGGAGCCCAGCAAGGTTCTCAAATCTTCTGCGGAAGCAGAACCCCCAGCTGGCCAATGACGTTTGGCGCCACAGCCACAAAACAAAGAAAGAGCCAACAGCATGGAGACAATACAACATAATACAACCAATCCAGCATGAACATTTCTCTTACTGTACCAAAGAACGGCTCCTTCAGGAAACCTCTTAGCACAATACGCTCTACGCTGAAAAGCGGCGACGTTTGAGTTCTGCCTCAGGCATGTCTCTCAGAAGCGCTTCCCTCTCCAAGGAAGATTTCCAATTCTTGAGGGCCTCCATGTGCGGGATGCCTTTGGCCTTTTGCTTGTTGACGTACGCTTGGAAAGCGGTGTAGATGGGGCCAGTCGACAAGTCCCGCTTCGCCTGGGGCTTTGAGCCCGTGGCCTGGCCCTTGTTTGTTTTCTTGGTTTGCCCCTTCGCTGTTTTCTGTTCAACGCTTTTGTTCTTCTTGTTGCTGTCAACCTTTTTCATCTCCTGCTCTGCCCGCTTGCTTGCCATGAGTGCCATTTTGGAATACGGGCGTGGAACTTGTTCTGGCGTGTGCTCTGGGACTGGTAGCATCTTGGGAGGCGGTGTTTGGGTGGGAGACTGTTGTTGAGCACGGGAACGAAGCTTGTCTGTGGCGTCCTGGTAACCGTCCATGTTTCGCTTCCATTTAGGGTTGAGGACTGAAAAACTGTCCACCCATGCATGGTAAGATGAATCCGTCCCATCCACCTCCGGAAAGGCAACATCACCAGACGCAGAGTTGTCCTTAGCCACAAAACAGTACCCCTGAACAGAGCCCGCTCTAGACTCTCGTTTCCCATTCTATGACTACAAGTCATCTCCAACAAGTTTGACCGTTGACTCGATGTTCAAAACTGTGCAAGAGAGCTAAATTTACACAACAAGAAGCCAATGCAATTGGTTCTCCATACTTGGCTTGAAGCTCGCAAAGCATTTGCTGCGCAATCTGCCTCTTCGGGAGTGGTTCCCAGGGCAGCCGGTTGCGCAGCCACCAAACGATCTCTTGGGCCATGGACATACCGGTCTCAGCCTGCCACTTGTCGGAAGGAAAGAGACTACACGCAGCTTCCGTACGACAAACACAAAAAACTGACTTGAAAAGGAGGTTGTAAATGGGTCAAAAATGGTCAAACCCCTCCTGCGTTTCGGTCTTCGCACCACTGTCCACCTTGTCGTCCTCAACCTGAAGCAGAATGAAAAGGCGAGGCAGAGCTACAGTGGACGCGCAAGACTAGCCTCAACCTCCAAGTGCACCCATCGGTCTGTCATGGGATCGTAGCACCAATCCTGCATTTTCAAGTGATGATCTACAGTTAATGACACGCAAGCTAAAGCTCTCCTGGCAATTCTTTGGGAACCAGATGCCATCACTGCAGACATAGCCATCCCAAACCTAGCGCGATGGACTTGTGACTAGGAACCACAAAGAAAAGAAATGGATACAAACGGCGAGCACAAGCCTCATCATGAGCAAACCCTTCATGAAGGTCCTCAACCTCCTGGAAAGGGACAACCAATGAAAAAGTTCTGACTTCCTCGAACCCATCACGGTCACCACACTCAGCCATCATCCCAAGTGGCCTCCTCCACCGCAATCTGGCCACCGGGCGTGATCACGAAGTCCTGGCCGGAAGCCGTGGATTAAGACAGAACTGCTTTGGTAGTGGCTACACGCAAGCAGCAAAAGAAAAGCATCGAGTGCGCCCCAATATTTAGTTCACATGGTTGAGAATATAGACGCAGGCTGTCCTGCTCATAGGGCGTCATTCGTTCATCGTCCTCATCATGGTTCACCTGTGCGGTTTGCAAACAATAAAGCTATTTGTAAGAAATTGTGGAAACTACACAGTCGTGAGCAAAACGGAAACAATGAGCAGACCCTGCACGTGCACCTTAGAGCTCTGTTGGTCATGAGCTGTCTCACCACGCCACGACTGGGCAAGAAATCATCAGAAAACCCATTGGGGGCTATCCACTGGACCTGCCTCATCAGAGCTGGGTTCACAAACCTCTTCCTCGTCAAGGGCCTTGGGTCCGACTGTTCATGACATCAACATTGACTTCGACAATTTTTCTATGGCTAAAAAAACCACAAGTTTCCATGTGCGGTAATTGTGGCTTAAACACGCACACCACTTCGTCCGATTGGCAGGCCTCCGTGGATTGAGCGCTTGCCATCGCCTTGTGCGAGAAAAGCCAAGCACACGCTGCTCCATGGGACCATCTTGGCTGTAAGAATTTGATGGCTAAGTATTTGGAAGAAACATGCACTTAGGATTCTTTACTAGTGGACTCTTAACCTCGAAGAGCACCAGGCCTCACTTACCCCAGAGCCATCCTCAGGACACGCCCAAAAGAGTTCCATGACAAACCAACCCTGAAGAAAAAACGTTTGCGAGAGACAGTTTGCCAAGAGAGACAGTTTGCCAAACACATCTCAAAGAATTCTAGATTCTAGCGATAGATTTTAAGGAACTTATATAATATGTGTATATATACATGTGCGTGTGTAAATGTTCCTTTATGTTCATTTATAAAGTAGAGCACGAGTAGAGCTATATATAGCTTGAGGCTCAAGTGAGGCTCAGGCCCAAGGTTGGGTCTCCAGCTCCATCGCACTACGCGTTGCCCGCTTGCACCTTTTAGCTAGCTTCTGTAGCAAACCTGCTTGGGCCTTCAAGTGCCCTTCCATGCCTTCCTTCGGGTCAACAGGAAGCTGAAAAGGCAAGGCGCAGGCTACCCGCCTAGTCACCCCTAAGCACAGGCGCTTGGTGAACGCCCGGCCTGGTATTGACTTCAAGAACAAAAACTTCCACGCAACCTTCTTTCTCAGGTTGCACCGTCTGGGGAACAGCGACCCTGTTTGTTCGACATAGTCCAGGTCTAGTTCCTCCAAAAGTTTTCCGGCGACCTGCGCTGCCAGATCGTCTCGCCGCCGCTTTTGGATGGCAGCCCTACCCAGTCCGTGAGGTTTCCTGAACATGCTGTTGAGCCTAAACCCCCTGGACAGCACAAGCACGTCTCCTGCGCACGCAGTGCGACCACTGTCTTGCACACTCCAAGGGCCGGACGAGGCAAGAGCGGGGCACTATACAAATCCTATGGAAAAGTTTCGCAACTAATGAAACTGAGCTTGTCCATGGGCTGGCCACAGGTGGGAATGTTTCGCAACTATGAAACTGAGTTTCTCCATGGGTTGGCCGGTTGCGGAGTGGAACTATCGAACTGAAAGTGTCCACTTTACCCCTTTAAAAAGGAACACCGTCACTATCCGTAAGGACTGCAGCATCCGGCGAGCGGCCGGCGTGGTTGCATCAACAGCATGCATGCAAGCCCATCGAGGTTGCATCGAATCAGAAAACAAAATAAAACATATTACTTCGAGTTATCCTCACCTGGCCCTGCTAGCCACAACCGCGGAGTATCAGAAAAACTTCGAGTAAGCCCCACCTTAAGATCTGTACAGCGCAAGACATGCCATACAGAACATGGAAATGCTCAAATATCTCTCACATGGGGCTGATCACGGCACGTCAATCCATGTTGGAAGCCGTGCTGTTTGTTTATGGTGCCAACACGATCCACTCACTTTGCAGAAGCTATAGCCTATGAGACCGGTTGTGGTAGATGAGCTATAAGTCCTTCTGACCTGTGGTGGCATGTGCCACTTCCAGCACAGTCGGGACGTATCACTCAGTTCAACCAGTTATAGTAGGGGTTGATGTGAAGTACCTTCCGGGTTGGTTGCCTAACCAAAAGATCAAATCTGTTAATATGGTTGATCAGGGTTCATGCTTTCAACAGATTGTTCCCTTCTTTGAGCAAGAGACCTCAATGTTGCTTGGTAAGATCTTTGCCGAAGCTTGGGTTCGTTGGGCCGGACCTCCCGAAGCCGTGATCGTCGATCCTGCACAAACCATGTTAGGAGAGGCCTTCCAATCGTATCTAGAGTCCATGGGAACCCACTGCAAAATCATTGCTGCGGAAGCGCACTGGCAATTAGGCCGCACTGAAAATCATGGGGGTTGGTTTGGTAGGATTCTGCAAAAGATGATTGATGAACATTCTCCCTCAAACAAAGAAGAACGGCTAGAGTGTGTTCACCATGCACATGTGAAAAATCAGTCCATTCAATCGTATGGCTTTACACCATTCCAACATGTGTTTGGCAAGAATCCAAGCCTTCCCGGAGCACTCCAGGATGACAAAGCAGTTCCCGCCGCCATGTCCGGTCGCCCTAGAGTGATCATGGAATTCAAGGCAGGTGAACTGGTCGCCTACTGGCGTCAACAGAAGGTCATCCAAGGTACTGTTCAACAAGGGGGTAGATGGCATGGAACTGCAGTCGTCATCAGCATGGTAGGCAGAAATGTGATTGTGGCCCACCGGAAACAGATTTTTAGGTGTGCCCCTGAACAACTCCGGCCGGCAACCACCGAAGAGCGTACCATGATTGAATCCCCTGAAGCTGAACTGCTAGGTATCAAGGACTTGATTGAGGGTGGAACCTTCAAAAGCAAACAGTATATAGATCTAGTGCCTTCGGAGTATCCTCCTTCTGGAGTCGAGTTGCCAGACCCGTCAGGGCGTCCTGTGGCGTCTCAAGCGCATGAGTCGGCTGAGCCGAGCCAAGATGCTGGTCCCCTCGAGACCTCTTCTCCGGGAGTCAATGTAGACATGCATTCCACGAAATCGCATGATGCCAAGGAACATGAGCCAGAATCTCAGACCAAAGATCGTGCAGTTGAGCCGTATGTGAATCCCAAGTCCCTACCATATGTCCCGGAAGAAGAATCATCGTATGGTCCAGTGCGACGTAGAGTACCCACTAAGTCTCAATCGTCTTCTCTGTTTCGGCCACCAGCTATGCAAGCGGACGATTTCTCAGAGTTGATGAAAGACCTTGCGCCATCTCTCATCGAGAATGCCATTTCAAGTGAGCATGGAACATCGAGTAGTTCTGCTTCATCTGGCGCCGGAGCCAAGCGTGATCGTGAAGACGATGTGACACACATTGACGAACCACCGGCTCAGCGTGCACGTAATGTGGATTCGGAAGTGCTGTCAGTTGAGGAAATCACCGAAGCTTGGAACGATGGCATTGAAACTCTCATTGCTGCCCACATCCAAAAGAAGCTCAGTAAGGAACTCCCTCCTCATGGAAATCCACCAGAACTTCAAGCATTGGTGGATGAATCCAAGGTAGCTGAATGGGGAACTCTTGAAGAGAAAAACCGCCATCAAGATTCATTTTGGGAAAAAGGCTCAAGAGTTGAAACGTCGCTTTCCGGATAGGTTTATTGGATCCCGGTTCGTGATCATTAGAAAGGCTGCTGAAGAGGGAATCGCCATCGATCCCCTCAATCCCTCGACCTACCGTGTGAAGAGTCGTTGGTGTCTTCAGGGCCATTTGGATCCGGATCTCGATGAGAAAGCTTCAACCGGATTGCTTCAATCTCCAACCTTGTCTCAGATGAGTCGCATGCTGATCATGCAAGTGTTAGCGTCGTATGGTTGGGTCCTCCAGCTCGGAGACATAAAAGGTGCCTTCATGGAGGCAGGTGAACTTCCTCAGAAATTCAGGCCTCTGTTCGCATCCATGCCCAAGGGTGGAATCCCCGGAGTGCCAGCTGACGCCGTCATAGAAGTGATTGGAAATGTTTACGGCCAGAACGATGCCCCAAGCGCCTGGTATCGCACTTTCGATTCTGAAGCTCAACAGGCAGGTTGGATCAAGTCTAAATTTAACTCGTGCCTTTACACTCTCCGAGATCCCAAGAATGGTTCCTTGTGTGGCGTCATGGGAGTGCATGTCGACGACACTGCAGTGGGTGGTTCAGGTCCCCTGTTCGATCGATTCGGCTGTTCAGAAACTGAAGGCTCGTTTCCCTTACCGGAAGTGGCGTATGGGGGAAGGTGAGTTCTGTGGTGCGTACTACCGACAGGATCCCGACACCAAGGGTATCTCAATGTCTCAACAGCAGTTTGCCGAGTCCATGCGTAGTGCATCCATCCCAAAAGGAGCTGAAAATCAAGCTCTGTTGACAGAGAGCCAGGTCAGGTTGTTGCGGGGAATCAATGGTAGCCTCAATTGGCTTTCTTCTCGATCCCGACCTGATCTCGCAGTACAGACAAGTCTAAGTCAGCAGTGTTTCCCAAAACCGACCATTCGCCATCTGAGAGATGCTAACAACGCTATCCGCCGTGCCAAACAACACAAAGACTTGCGCATCTACTATTGCCCCTGTTCCTCCAAGTAATCTGACTTTGTGCTGTGATTCCGACGCGGCTTTTGCAAATGTTGGTGCTCACACCCAAGCCGGGTATGTGATAGCTTTTTCGCGATCAAAACCTCAACGAGGGACAAGTCTCCTCGCGGTCTCCGGCTGTGTGGAAGAGCTACAAGCTCAGCAGGGCGGTCAGCTCGACGCTCGGAGGAGAAGCCCAAGCCATGTCTGCAGCTTCGGGTACAGTGGAATGGATGTGTTTGTTGCTAGCTGGCCCCTTTCAACCACTGGAAAGTAGACAGATCATGGGTCGGGCCCCAATCCTCATGACAATGACAGACTGTAAGTCCCTGTATGATCACCTGATTAGTCCATCAGCACCCACGGCAATTGAGGATCGTAGAACCAGCATCGAAGGTATCATCCGATGGCTCCCTACTGATAGAATGTTGGCAGATGCTTTGACAAAAGATAAAGCTGACCCTGCCGATCTGCTGAGATCATGCGTCCGTGCAGCATGTTACCAGGTTTCTCCAGAAAATCTGATCCTAGAGCAACAAGCCGAGGAAAGACGAAGACGTCAGCAACTGCGCCAGTCCAAGGACCAGGATAACCCGGTCCCAACAGATAATTAAGTTAGATGTAAGGATACAATACTTGTTAGAGTATCGGTACTTGCGACATTCGTTGTTTCTCCAAGTTGAGTTTATTTGCTGTTTTGGGCTGTGCTCGTTTTTATAGAACTAGTCACTCAAGTGCCGAAGGGAAACTCTGTTCTCAAGTGATTGTGCACATCGGTTCTGCATGTTTTTGACGTTAATTAATGTATCGCACGTAGCTGTTCTTCGAAGCTCAAGTGTGTGTTTCGTGATCTTGTGACCCGCTGTGACTGAGGGCCATGGGGCCATGCCGTTGAATGAAGCTGAGAGTCGCCAACTCCAACATCTGTTGGCCAAGGCGAACGAACCCAATGTCGGAGCCGAAGATGGTGATTTCACCCTTGTGCAAGGTGAAGTCAACCGTGGTTGGGGCGCCATGACTGATGGTTCCAAGCGCCGTGAAGAGTCCAACCCCGGCGAGCCAGTTCTCAAGCGTGCTGACAAGAAAGCCCCTTCTGGCTATTCGATGCCACCCGGCATGTCACCACCATGGAAGTTAGCCGCGGATGGCCCTATGAGCTCAATGGATGATCCTGATCTGTCTCGCGAGGCCTTTGAGAGTGTCCAAAGTGAAGGCAAGACCTTGAGTTTGCCTCCGGGAGTGTCCAGTGTTGAAGTGTGGGGGAAAACCCTCATCACCGCCGGCCGCTTCAAAGGAGCCCACATGTCATATGAAGAATTGTGGTCCAACTCGGATCCATCCGTTGTGCAGTATAAGCAGTGGTGTTGCGCACGTGCCTTCTCGTTGACCGGCACCATGCGCGACATGTCTCAATATTTGCTTTTCATGAATGGCAAGAGCTCGAGTTCCCAGTTCTTGGATGGTCCAATCATTCCGGGATCTGATGTCCGCCGTCAGTACAAGACGGCAAAGTGAAGTGCCCGTTTTGCATCTAAGCCCGCCTAGAGCACCCTTTTTAGAAGATTTAAAAAAAAGAATATAAGCAGTGTCAATTGGCCATGTCTGCCACCAGTCACTCATAGGGCTGTCGTGCACTTCCGTTCGTCCGAAGGCCATTTCGCGACTCGAGGCATCGCAGGAAAAAGGCCGCCTGGTCCGCAGGGTCGGACACCTCGGTAGGTGTTTTGTGATATATATGCATGTTTATGCCATGATTGGAGTTGATACATATTGGTACTTCCCCCATCAATCAAGCCCCCTGACCCCTTACCTTTGCGGGGAGCATTTGCTGGGCTTTTTGAGACACATCTTTGAACTCATGGCCTCCACCCAGGCCCTCATGGCCGCCATAGCCATCGTGGCCGCCATAGCCTTCATGCGCCATGGGCATCCACTCGGTAGGCCTTGGACAGGATGGAGTGGAGCCAAGTTTCAATGCTCTATCCAAGTAGAACCGATGAGGAGAAGTTGAGCCAGTTCTTCTTTTTGAAAAGGGCTCAAATCCCCTGGCAAACGGAGCGAGGACAGAACTACTGTTCCAGGTCCCGGCTTCGTTCAAGGTCCTCTGGGAGTTTGTGCTACCTGCACCCTGGTGTAGAGAGTGGTAGCTCGACCGTCACCTTCTGCGCAGTAAAATTACCTGAAGGAGCAAGGCCTGAACAATACGGCCTGTTGCTTTCACAAAACTGCAGGAGAAGGAAGCTCCCAGCTTGGTCATCCTGCTTTTCGATCACCATCCCATTTTCGTCCACATGTTTCAGGGATGGCCCTAATGACTAGCCCTTCCTGGAGGAAGGCTCGGTGCCTAGTCTTGCTGTCCAGCCTGCTGGTCGTCAGCAAACTGGGCCGAGCTGGGCCCTCTCCGGCGTTTTCCGTGTCACCCTGAGAATCCCGACGGTGGGCACACGGCACTCACCGTCGTGGCCAAAGAGTAGAGACCTCGGTTTTCGGTGCAAACCGAGAAGACCGACCAGTCAGTGGACGGCGACCCGATGGTCCTCGACACGCGCGTTGGTGACCTGGCACCAACTGCAGCCCTGGTTTGACCCCCAACTGGAGATCCTTGAGGTGTGGTGGCAAACAAAACCAAGGTCTGTCTGGCTTCCACACCGGCACGTTGGGCAGCAACGCACAACCAAAAATGCACAGTGTGGTTCTAAACATCGTGGTCATCTATCTGTTGCTTGATGCCTTTAAGATGCTTTAAGTATAAGTCTAAACACGGCATCAGTGGACAAACAGGGGAAGAGAGAGTGCTTTCCCTAAACCTGGCCTTGTGCTACGCTGGGTGAAATGCACCTCGATAAGGGTCCCCTGGCTCATCCAAGGCCTCCACCGGCTCCAAACGATTTAAACCCCCACCTGTCCAGCCAGTCCAGTCTATAACTCTAGGTAGAAAACACTTTAAGGTAGAATCCCTTCAGTGCAAAGAAGGACATGTCAAGAAACACATGGAGTCAAACAAACTGTTTCAAACACATATATAACATCTTGTAACTGACTGGTGCGACTCGTAGAGAATGAGGGAAGTTTCGCCTCCATGTATCTAAGCACCAGTCAGAGTATATATCAGGTCTTTCCAGTTGAAAAAGCCGCACTTCCCAAGCGACGCGTTGCGCGGCGCTTCGTGGCCCCGAGGTCGACCCGGTCCGGGCGTCCGGACATCCGGTGAAGGCCTCGAGGTCTTGGGGCCGCGAAGGTCGAACCTGTCGAGGTCGACCGGAGGTCCGTCGGCACCGGACATGGCACCCGCACCTGGATGGATATGGCAATGACCTACTGACCTACCATCAGCATCATGCTCGTCCTTCGTCATCTTCATCGTCTCAGAAGTGGACACAAGAAGTGGAGATGGGTCAAAAACCTGGAGGTTTGGTCCACTATGTAGCCAGCTCGACCTTCCAGGGAGGTCGTGCCCAGTCGCTATCCTGGTTGTCATTGTGACCCATCCCCCAGTTGTTGGGCTCAACATGAGGGACCAATCTTCTCAGCGATCCTTGGCTTCCAACCCTCAAACGAGCCCGTCGTTGAATCCTGGCCCTCCAAATTCTTGACATACCTTGACCCTTTGTACTGCCAAACATTTTTTCGCTCCCAAGAAACCGCTGGTCTCTTGAAGCAGAAGACCCTCCCTGGTCTCCTGGGAAACACCCGCCGTGAGTGATGTTCACACGGATCACTCCACGGCCGTGGACCGTGGGTTCCATGTTTCGCCGCTGAGAGGCCTTAGGGGCTCCTGGCATCGCTACTAGGAGCAATGTTCGCTACTAGGGGCTCCTGGCATCGCTACTAGTAGCAAGGAAGCTACTAGGGGCTCCAGGCCGTACTAGGAACAAGAAGCTATTAGGAATAGTTGCCTTTTCCATGTTCTTTGTTTCTAATTGCGATGGCCTCCCACCTAATAGCGATGGCGTCCAACCTAATGGCGATGACCTCCAACCATGTTTCGCTGAGAGGCCTGAATATTGCTCTTGCCGATCTGCATGCCATTGAGCAACTCGGTGGCCTAGCGGTGGAAGAGAAGAAGGCTCTCGATCTCGTCTTTTTTTTCGGTCAGATGTTCAGGACCACAGGACTTCTGCCCATTGAAATCCTGGAGATGAGGCAGGACTTCCTACATCTCTTGCATCTCAACATCTCAATTGAAATCGCGCCCTCAAGTGGTCTTGTTTTGCCCAATGATGCGACAAGATCTTGATGGAACCTTAAACATCCACAAGTCATCGTGTTGCCACAAACCAATGGGCAACCACCAAAGGGCCGCCCTCATGTTTGAGATGTTCATTGGAGAAGGTGTGGCACACACCTTGCAAAGGAACCGATTGTTGATCCAATTATCAATGGTCACTAAACAGTCATATACAAACAGTTCTTTGCTCCTGATCTGTATCGCTGGCTCAGTCTCAGAAACCTTCTCGCCACTGCAGTGGACTCATGAACATCACTTTCATAAGCTGGCTGTGGCCCTGGTGGACCATCGAAAATGAAGAGAACAAACCACCAGACATGGTCAAACCACCAGGGTCAAATGCTGCTCTTGGTGACCCACCGCTGAGCCGAGGACTAGGAGCTCTCTAGGGCTCTGGCTTTCAACGCATGCTCCTGTCAAACAGCGTCTAGCTCATCAGAATGCAATGAAAGACGATGCAGCCTGCTGATGGTTTTCAATGTTCACCTACCTCTTTGGGTGAAAACCATGCAATTCTCCTCAGCTTTTTACCGCTGGCTTCGAGCAAAGACGCTGGCGGTTGGCGAGCTGAGTGAGCGGTCTCTCCTTCTCAGCAAAGTGCACGAAGCCATATCCACGGGAACGCTCGTCTTCGTCCATCTGCACCTGGCTGTGCCGCCCTTCCAAGGGACGAGGCGATATCGGTTGACTTCCGATCGGTTCGGTTCACCGGTTTGGCGAAGCAGTTCTGTTCTTGGTTTTGGCACCTGCATCAAACCGGCTTGGCTACAGTGCCTTTGGAAATGAGGCAGATTATCTCTCGAAAAGCAGAACATCGTGTGCATTGCTCATTCCAACCTTTGCGCCTAGTCAGATGTTGAACGCCCCTCTTCTTTCGTGGGCGTTTTTCGCATGTGACGCAAAAGCAAACTCCATGAAGAGCATCCCTCCAAAAGAGGAACAGCATCCTGTGGATAAAAAAGTACAAAAAAACTCATTGCAAAACAAGGAGACTGGCCCCATCCCCTTCCCCCCCACCGGCGCTCTCTCCATCTCCACCATCTCACTCCTGACTTGATCACTCGTTTTTAGTCCAAACGCGCGCGCTTAGCGGCGGCATTCTTCAAGCAAGTTGTAGTGGGCCTGGCAACACCACGGCACAGAACGATAACGCTCCTTGGCCGGTTAGTGTCAGAAGGTCTTTATGACCTTTTATAACGATTTTCTCGCCAGCGGTTGGCGTACCTCAACCCTAATCAGCACGCTTTTTGTCGGTGTGTTTGAACAGGACATGCGACCTGAGATTTTACTCATCTGTGATTACTGGGTCCCTGCCCGTCATTGACCCATCCCCGACAAAAACAAGCAACACACACGCACCATCCTTGAAACACAAGCCTTGCCTCCGCCCAGAAGCACAAGTTCAGGACCTGCCCGACAAATAATCTTGTTGCAACATGTTTACAGAACCACGGCCACTGTGAATCGGTTGGATTGACCCACTGATTTGTCCTCTGTGATGTACAGGGGCACACGCTCACATTGCTCACCGATCCAATGACTTTCTAATGACATGTGTGTCATTGCAGGGTGGACTCACATTCACGCAAAGTTTCTTGTCCACCACGCAGCAGTGAGCACAGGGGACGCCTTGCTGCTCTTGACTTCGTGGGGGAGCACTTCAATGTACGCCTCCTGGAAGGGTTTACAGCCGTGGCAGGAGCTTCAGGTCCGACCAGCTTCTCCAGGAAACAATACAACTCACAAACGTCCAATGCATGGGCGCGTGTGTTTCAATAGGGAGACCTATCAGTTCGACCCTCTAGAAGAAGGAAAGACCAAAACCCATTGGATGGAGGTCTTCCCATTAGAATACACACCTACATGGCTGGTGGTGTTGAATCACCCACCACCCAGCTTTTGCAGTACCGTTTGAAGCCTTTGGTGCACAAATCCATCGAAAAGGAAACTGCGGCTTTCGCACCTTCATGTAATCGCTGATGACATGGATCCTGCCAAGCGGTGCTGAAGCTTTGGGAGTGCGGCAACCGAGAGTTCAAGGCACGAAGTTTATCGGAGTACCTGCTCACAATCCTTGACCCAAGAAATTCGGGCTCAAATTCCAAAGGCTATTTGTTTTTTGCTGAACCCCTGTAATAAAAGAACTCTGGGATATGAGCAAAGAACTTCAGGGTGCAGATTCACCTTAATTGCAAGGAGGGCTCCTTAAGCCCTTGGATTGATGGTCTGAACATACTCAAACTCCAGTGATAGATGGAGACGGAGTTTTTAGCCGCACAGCGCGCACCGCAACAGAGCCCGACCTCAGACCCAGTGCATCAGCTGCGGCCTGACGTGCCCGTGTTGGGGCTTGGAGACCCTCCAAATGCGTGTCAAGTTGGGTTTTGTCGGCCATCGCTAGTAGAGTCAAGGCCATCTCTAGTGGTTGGAGGCCATCTCTAGTAGGTTGGAGGCCATCGCTCTTAGGTTTCTTAGAGTCCTTTTTCTATTCTCTTCTTTGGGATTTGGGTTTCACCTTCGGGCACCCTGTCGGCCCGTCGGCCCACTGAAAAACACAGAGGTTGACCCACAGAGCCACAGAGGTTGGGGTGCAATGAAGACATGTGAGACATGCTGGAAATTCAACAATGTCATGAGTGAGTTCTCTGACTTCCCAAAGATCCCTCTCAGCGACTACCCAGGCCAGGATTGCTGCATCCGCCGGCAAGCTTTCGCTCAGCTTTTTCCTTTCGGTCGTCTTTGATCAAAAACGAAAAGGAAACCAGACCGTGGTCACCACCCGCCCGAGTCGAGCCGAAACCCGAGCCATGTCGCGAACCGCCCCCGCCCCCGCCCGAGACGTTCCCCCGGATCGATCATCGCCGGAGACGCCTGAAGCGTCACGTGGTCACCCCAAGTGCCGTCCGTCTCCATGGACCTCACATAGTCCTCGAAACGACCTGCTGAAGAACGGGCGAGCGCGAGCGCGGGCGGGGTAGGTCTCCGGTGCTGAAAAAAGGCGGGTTAGGCCTGTCTTTGGCGCTCAAGGAAGAGGCAGCACACCACGGTTTCAAACACCAACATCCGAGTGGTTGTCCGTCTTAACCCACTTATTTTGCTGGTGCGGACCAGGAAGGCTTGGGACTGGGAACCTCAGGCAAAGAATGACACAAAAAAGTCATCAAGATACATCGAATATGGCTCCTATGTGGCTAAGCTATATCTGTTGGCTGCGACGCACAGATTTCTGTCTACAATGTGTCGCGGGTCCCTGTGCAAAGAGTAGATTCTTGCTAGACACATGAGGATGGGTCCAAAAATCCTTTAAAGCTGTAAAAAACAAAGAAAGAACAACCTTCAACCCACATCATCCTCACTCTCCCAGCACAAGACTCCGCGCATTTTCTTCGGAGAAAACCCTGCGCCCCTCGCGGCATCGTCCGCTGCGCTGCGCTCGGGCCGCGCTTCGCTCGGGCCGAGCGCCGCAGCGCCGCGTGTCGGAGTTGGAGTGTGACCGACCTCGGGATGTCCCTCGGTGACCGTCGGATGCAGCGAAAACAGCAATAGACACCGATACGGTAATTGAATCCTTTCAATAGTTAATTAGAAAAGATGCAGTTCACACCTGGAAGACTGGGCTATGATTGTAAGCAGTTGGTCGAAGCATTTCTGGTGGCAGGCCGGAAAGCCGATTCGGCCCACATCCCGAAGCTCGCAAATGCACGGCACCCTGACCCTTCGAGTGACTGGTGCGGATGACTTTTGGCCAGTCAAAGCTGCAACCATTCTGCAGTCCTTGTCTGCTAACATCTCCGCATTTTGAGCATCACCCTTCTTGGTCAGATCCCCAATTGGGGAAATGTTGGACGTCATTGGGCTACCTACCTCCCCATCAGGATGTTTGAATGAAGCCTGAACAGAGGCATCCAGCGTCACCATCCTTCGCTGTCCATTTCACCCTGGGGCTTTGCCAAAAAAAACATGATGCTTTTGAGTCTTTGGGTGTGCAGGTGGTCCGTTGAAATGCCAAAAACCTGCGAAAGATCTGTGTACAGTTGTAATATCTGGGTGACATGAATTAACCCGCTAAGTGCTCCAGTTTCAACCCAAATTGATTCATGCCCCGCAGGACATCGCAATTCCGCACCTAGTCACTCTCAAATCTCCTGCAACTGCATCCGCCCCGAGTACTTTGGGGTGCCGACGCAAAGCAAAAAGCAGCCCGGCGGAATGCCTCACATAGCAGCCTTCTTCATGTTCCCCTCAATGCTCATGTTCTCATACCTCAAGCCCGGCTCAAACAAAATCAAGAAATGCATTGGATCTGCAAACCGATGCTTTCAAGCCATGACTTTCTTTTTATGAGTAGTATATATATCATTCTGCTCGGATGAAATTGAATACAAACATTGGTTACATGTGGTCGCAAACTATTCAGTTCATCAGCAGCCAACAATTATAGATACACCGGTATACATACTATACTGTAGCATATAGCATGCTTGACAGGACAATGAGTAAAGCATATATTGTCATTGCGATCGCTTGGTCCTGCCAATCGAACGAAAGAAAGCAGGGCCATCACATCAAGGAAGCCATGGAATTAGCCCAGCTGGAGACCCCAATAGCAAGATACAAACCGGGACAAAAAGAAAAATCTGGAAACAGCTGCTGTTTTCAACACATCGACCAACTCTTCCTTGGACACCATCATCACATAACCGGGACACCATCACAAAATGACCAGGGCACCAACAAAACATGACCGAGACACCGTCACAACATGATTGGGACACCATCACAACATAACCGGGACACCATCACAAGGTGACCGGGACACCAGCGTGACATGACGGGGACACCATCACAACATGACCAGGGCACCATCAAAACATGACCGAGACACCGTCACAACATGATCGGGACACCATCACAACATAACCGGGACACCATCACAAGGTAACCGGGACACCAGCATGACATGACGGGGACACCATCACAACATGACCAGGGCACCATCAAAACATGACCGAGACACCGTCACAACATGATTGGGACACCATCACAACATAACCGGGACACCATCACAAGGTGACCGGGACACCAGCATGACATGACGGGGACACCATCAAAACATGACCAGGGCACCATCAAAACATGACCGAGACACCGTCACAACATGATTGGGACACCATCACAACATAACCGGGACACCATCACAAGGTGACCGGGACACCAGCATGACATGACGGGGACACCATCACAACATGACCGGGACACTATCACAACATGACCGGGACACCGTCACATGACCCGGACACCATCAAAACATAACCGGCACACCGCCAAAACATGACCAGGACACCGTCATAACACGACCGGGACACCATCAAAACATGACCGGGACACTTTCACAACATGACCGGGACACCATCAAAACATGACCGGGACACCGGGACACCATCAAAACAGGACCGGGACACCATCACAACATGACTGGGACACAATCAAAACATGATCGGGACACCATCACAACATGACCGCGCCACCATCACATGATCGGGACACCATCAAAACATGACCGGGACACCATCACAACATGACCGGGACACCATCACATGACCGGGACACCATCAAAACATGACCGGGACACCATCACAACATGACTGGGACACAATCAAAACATGATCGGGGCACCATCACAACATGACCGCGCCACCGTCACATGATCGGGACACCATCAAAACATGACCGGGACACCATCAAAACATGACCGGGACACCGTCACAACACGACCGGGACACCATCAAAACATGCCCGGGACACCATCACAACATGACCGGGACACCTTCAAAACATGACCGTGACACCATCGCAACATGACTGGGTCACAATCAAAACATGATCGGGACACCATCAAAACATGACCGGGACACCAGCATCACATGACCCGGACGCCATCAAAACATGACCGGGACACCATCCGCCCACCAGCTCTGACGGTGACCCGACGGCACCCGTCCGCCTATTAGTTTTGCAAGACCCCATAGCATGGCTATTGGGGAATGAAGTCATGGGATTATGGAAGGGCTCGACCATGGCAATCCAAACCGCGAGGCCATGAAGTCAAGGGCTCTCCGAGCTCGGTGAAACATGCTCGCAAGACGCCGGCCCTATGCCTAGAAATCACACGAAATGAAACGACGAAGGATAGCAGGAAGAATCCGTGAATCGCACAGCACTTAGAATCTCCAAATTTGTAGAGACACGGGCTGTGACATAGGTCCAAAAATCCGTCCTTAAATATAGATCAATTCTTCTTTCCCTCTGCACTACCAGGTTGAAGCGTGCCTCCCCAACACTCTGTTCTCTTGCTGCCCAGGAGACGACTCGTTGCCCCGGTTGCCGGCCACTTGTGCACCCAGCTCCTCAAGCAAGGTGGCCTCCTCCTGCGTGCGCGGCCCGCTCGGACATCCGCCGCGAACGCGTTGGAGCTTTGCTTCGAGCTCCACTCGTCGACGGCTCGGGGCACCGAGGTCCTTGGTGATCGTGACTTTCAAACCAGCCTCAGCGACTCAGCGAGGTATCGCTGGTGCACGAGTGGGGCTGAGCACAGCTGGGTAGGACAGCGTAGCACGAGTATCGCTGGGTTGGGACTGGGGCATGGCTGGGTTATGACATAGAAGACCTGCCAAGTGGCTGATATGGATCTGACTCGACTCAATACTCATCCAGAACCGCCGTTTGATCGTAGGTGTTGAGCCACGGCCAGTGGTTCAGTTTCAAGGGAAACTGTGAGGAAATCCCTGCGGCCCCATCGGTGGAGAAACGAGCCCCAGTAAACCTGGTGAAGCTCAGCAACTGCTAACTTGTAGGTAAAATAAAGAGATGATCTGCAGATCACGGGTGTTCAATAAGCCATTCAATGGTGCTGATCATCCTCATCTTCCCTTGGAGAAGTTGAATCATGGCAAAAACGGCACATGCAGCCCCGCAAGCCAACCACCCAAGCCGGAAGTCCCCCCAAACCCAAGTGGAAGGGTACCGAATCTCACAGCAAAACCACTGAGGTCGATGGTCGATGCTGTTCTGTTCTGCTTGTGATCTACTTGGAATTCCTGCCCACTGCTTGGGACTGCTTGGGGGGAGTGAGGAGTGAAACCACTTTGGCCTTGTGGGCCGGCGCCCGCCTGTTTTCCGAGCTGCAAAGTTGGCCTCGGCGTTGGCAATCTTGGTGGTGCCCGGAATCGCAATCATGGTCCTCGAGTCGAAGAGCTCCGTGGGACGACCGAAGGACTTGGTCCTCGCAAAAGGCCCTTCAGGGTACTGCCGGTTGTTCTGAAAGAGGAACCAAAAAAAAGCTACGGCCAGTGCCGCGCTACTGCTAGCTAGCACTTCATGTTCCGACGGACATGTCCGTTGCGAGAAACTCACCATGAAAAATTAAACAGCCAAACAACCCGTAAATCGTCCCAGACTCCAGGCACAAATCCAAGAAAACTTGGAACTTCACCCCGCTGTACCTCTTTGTACTAGTACCTGAGTCGCCTGAGACTTGGAATAGCTCACACTTGGAGCTTCGCGGTTTTCAGTGTTCCATCCTTCAGCCATGACAAACACAAAGAAGCCTCTCCCAGAAACGAACACGAGCAACAAGCTGCTCTGTCGGCCAAGCAACAAGCCCAACTCACCAGCCTTGAAGTAAAGCCTGCAAGGAAACGCGGAAACGCAAAACAATTGTTGGAATGTTCTCCTTTGTTGTAACCACAGGAATTCCAACATAGGACACAGGAATTCAGAGGATTATGGAACAATACTGGACAAAAAGAAGAATCTCTAACTATGGATGTCCGTGAGATCACCACCGTGAGCGTTCGAACTCGCCCGGATCTAGCTGGTCCCAGTTGAAAGCCACTACCTCACACAGGCCTCGACCAAACTCCTTTTCCTCTGGCGCGGT